ATAATTCTGATTGGAAAAAGTTTGAGGATGAAAGGTGTGAAGAGGATAATGCACAATATGACAGGTTTGTTAAATTGTTTTGGTTGTTAAAAAATGGGTCAGGTATGTCACGAGTTGAGAAAAAAGTCGATTCGGGATTCGAATCAGGCTTTCAAAATTTTCCTTGGAATTTTCGAATTTCGGTCAGAAAAAGGTTCGGGTAACCAATGACATCACTGATTTAAAAACTACAGGTGTGATTAAATGTCTTATCGGCCGGGTAGTTTATGTTACTTTTTGTTGAAAGAGGTCGGGATTCCTGCTTTCTTTTTAAATTTTTATAGTTTTTTAAATCGTTTCTATTTTATATTTCCATTTAAAAACATGTTACATTCTATTAACTTTATTTTTCAGATGGGATTACAATCAATTAATGGAAAATTCTACTTTTTGTTTAATTCCAAGAGGGAGACGTTTAGGTTCTTTTCGGTTTGTTTACTATTATTTTTGTATCAATTTATAAGTTTTAAAGCTTTCTTGAATCTCTCAAACATTCGTGTATTCCTGTCATTTTTTCTGATGATTGGGTTTTACCTTTTGAAGATTTTATTGATTGGAGTCAACTTTCAATCTCAGGGAATGAAAAAAATATTTTATTTGTTAGTTGTTTTTATTTTTTGGAAGTGTTTTTCGGACTTTTTTCAGTTGTCCGCAAAACTTTTTGCGGATTGTCCGCAAATTTTTTGCGGACTTTTTTTGCTGATTTTTTTCAAATATTCTTCAAAAAATCCCCTCAAATTCTCTTATATTCTCCTTCTAATCACTCCATTTTCAACAGATTTATGATTATTTGTCTAATATTCCAAAGGAACGTATACTCAAAATGCGCCACTCTACTCAACTAATTTATCAAAAATATTTTGCTAGTGTTGAAAGAATTGTTTTAACTTCTATCGAGCAAGTATTTGAACGTATAAGACGACATGTAGGTTTGCCTTCACAACAAAATTGGTTATGCTATTGAATTTTATTGAAAATTAATTTTTGCGGATAAAACTTGCGGACAGTTTTTTTGGAATTTAAAAATTTCCTTTTACTCGTACCTGCCTATTTTTTGCTTGTATTCGTACTTTGTACACAGGTACAAGTACGAATTTTGATATGACTTCCCAAGGACATAGCCAGGCGGCTTTCGGTGCTATAGCTCCCCTCTGGAATGGCCTGAAATCGACCCCCTGGCTACGCTCTTGCGACTTCCAAAAACACTGCTTGCAATTTTTTTCAATTTTTCTTCTATGGTGCATTTCTATTTCCCTTTTTATTTTTATACATTTTATTGATAAATATATTTTCTGTTTTTGTTTATTTTTGATTTTTAAACTTGTTTATTAATCAATTAATATATCTAAATTTTTATTTTTTTTTATTAATTTAAAAATTTTCTTCAAGTTTTTTCAATGGCTGCAAATAACAAACAAACACTTCAAGTTGGTACATCTTCCAAAGAAAAGAATGTTGAAGAAGAAAAGGAAGAGTCTAAGGTTTGTAAATTATTTTTGGGTTAATTGTCCTTCCTTTTGTGCGTTGTAAGGAACAAGTTGGGGGTGGTGAGCGTCTTATTTTTCGCTCTAGAATTAAAAATATTTTTAAAGGGTTACCGTTACTAAAGGGTCAGCTTTTCGACCTTTTTTTAAATTTCATATACTATTATTCATCCCGTTAACATATTCCCTATATGGTCGAAAAGCTGACTTGGTCCCGGAACTCCGAATTGACTTCATTCTCAACTTATTCAACTCAGCTAACCGAGCTCTTTCAATTGGCACCTTAACTCGATCCACCCATTCCATTCATACACAAAAATTCTTGTCCGCAAAAACAATTTTTGTCCGCAAATTTCTGAAAATTTTTTATTTCTAGTTAATAACATCAAATGCAATTCGAAGCGGATTAAAATTAAAAAGAGGAAATTTATTTAAACAGAAAAAGAGAATTGATCCTCGAGCAATTGATTTAACAATAAAAAAAGAAGAAAAAGGTCCACACAAAACTAAAGCTGAATTGGCATTTTTAAAAAGACAGGAAGAAACGGCGTTTGATAGATTGTCTAAAAGAGCGGCTATAAGTCATAGAGAAAAAGTTGAAGTTTTTAATAAACAAATGGAGGAATTGACTGAATTTAATGATATTCCAAAGGTTTTTTTTGAAATTTAATATAAGTTATGGGGTCCTGGTAGGAAAGTTCCTGTAGGTTAAAATTGTAGTTTAGGACTGGGTTGAAACTTTTTGGGAAGCGAGAGGAGAGATAAAAAAAAGTCTATCCCAAGGCAGGCATATATCGTGCGACCTTCTGACAGATTTTGTTAGTTAAAAAATTAATTTTGAGTTTATCGATGAGTTGTCGGTTGTTTAAGAAAAATTTTTTAATTAAATTATGGGTCCTGAAAGGAGTATTTCTGTTGGGTGATTAAAAGATAGTTCAAGATCGGGTTTTCAAACTTTCTTTTGAGAAGTTATCGATTTTTATGAAGATCTAAACCATTCTAAATTAAAATGATTGGTTAAAAGATGGGGTTGTTTTTGTTAAAGATGTTTTTTCAAATTTTATTTTTCAGGTTTCCTGGACCAAATAAATACATTTGGAATGTTTGGTAAGAAAGTTGGAATTTAAAAGAAGTGAACATTTATTTTTTGGTATTTAAAATTGGTGATCCTTTTTTTATTTTTAGTGAAAGGCATTTACGGCTCTATAGTAAAAAATTTTTCGAAATGAATGTTAATTTCGGATATTTTAAAATTAAGGTTAAGACTTTGGGACCGATATTTCTAATCCTATACTATATTTTGACCCTTCTAAATTTCCCTTTACGTTCTACAAATTTATTTTGTGATAAGTCGTAAGTGTCTTTTCCCCTTGCTTATTTTTCTCCTCTTTTTAAATAAATTTTTTCTTTTTAATTTATTTTTTTAAATTATTTCTATGTCTTTAAATTGACATTAAATCTATTTTTTTTTATTTAAAAATTTCTTTTCTTTATAATATTCTTTTAGTTAATTTTAAAAAATGCCTGCAATCCCCCGTGTTGATCGAATTAAAAATATTTATTCGGCTGCGAAAGCTTTAAATTTTGGTTTTCGTTTGTCTGCTACAAATCCACAGGCTGTTCTTTTTGATGGAATTTCTGGCCATTTTCCGCAGCTTCAACGTGTTACTATTCGTTTTTGTAAAATAAGGTTTTTGGAATTTTTTAAAATAATTATTTTAGGGATGAATAAGTTAATGCAAGATTGTCGATTAGGAGAATGGGTGTATTGGTCAAGTGGTGTATTGGTTAGGGTGCTTGGTTTTTCCTTACGAAGGGTTGTGGGGACTCCCACAACTTGTATTGTTTTTTCTTTTTGTCTAAAATTTATCCTTATCATGTAAAAAGTGATAAGAGTAGCCTAGACTCAAAATATATTTTTTATTAGGGTATTAAATTTAAAAAATTTTTATTTTAAGTGAACCAAGCGCCGGTCTTCGCAATTATATAGAACATTCACTTACCAAATTTGCTTCAGAAAATCCTTATTGTTCAATTTATATACTTCCCGTGCGAAATACTACTCCATCAATTCGAGCGGAATATTCAAATGGAAGAGAAGTTCAGTTAGACGCTAGGGATTTTAGGTTTTTTAAATTTTTTAATTTTTTGAATAGTTTTTTTAATTTTTAGTATGGAACATACTTCTCTTTATATGAACTATTTGAGGACAAGAAGTGGATTGCCAATTTATAAATGTATGTAAAAGGGATATTTTTGAGAGGTTTTTTTAATTTTTTGAGGGTTTTTTTAATTTTTTCAAATAATTTTTGTAGGACCCAGACTTCCCAAACATAATTTTTAAATTTTTGACCATAGGGCTAAAAAATTTTTATCCTTTTTCCCTCAAATTTTACGTTTTCCAGATTTTAATTGGATTTCTCGTCCATTTCCAACAATTTCCCATCGAGAGTTCCCACCCATCAAGGATTTTTCCCCTCTAATTTATGCGTTATTTTTATAACTTGTATTTCTGTCACGGGTGGGGGAAACCTGTATATCGATAAATTTGAGAAAGACTTTCTTTCTAATTTTTAAATATTTTTTCAGTTGAAAACCCTCAATTTTCCCCAACAAAATCAATCCAAGGAATGTGGTCGCCAACAACATGGCAAAATACTGCCCAAAATCTTTATAGCTGTGGAGCTTTGCCTCAACAAGAATTCTCTACACATCTTGAAAAATCGAAGGGAGCAACAGAAACTTTACAACAAATGACGACAAAAGAAGTATAGAAAATTTGTTTTTGATTGTTTTTTAAATTTTTTATTTTTGGTTATACAAAAATTAATAAAAAAATTTTGTTGTCATTTTTGATTTTAGAGAAAATATTTGGGAGATAGTATGGCCAGTGTAAGGAATAAAAATCTTTAAAATTTTAAAAATTGCAAAGTATTGGCATAATGTATATATTTAAATAAATGACATTTTGTCCTCTCAGTTAAAGAAAAATATGAAATAGTGTAAATAGAGAAAAAGAGGAAAGGGATAATTGAATTTAGTAGAAGTTGGAAAAGTTTATTATAAAAATCGATAAAATCAATACCAATCGATAATTGATTTTCTGAAAAATTTCAAAAATTATTTTTTTCAAAAAATCGATACTAATCGATAAAATCAATACTAATCGATATATTGATATGTTTGAAAATAGTAACTTCCAAAAAATCGTTTAAAAATCAATAAATCGATAAAATCAATAATTGATTTTTCAAAATTTAAAAATTATTTTTAGAAACACTAACACACGAAACATCAAAAGATTTTAAAATTATATTTTATACGAATACTATAATTAAAAATTTTCTCTTATAATTTCACCTATTAAATACATAAAATATATATAAAAATTGTTATATTGAGTTCTTTATATTTATAAATCAAAAATTTTTAACGATTATATACTTTTTCAAAATTTATTTTGGCACATCTCTCTATTTATTTTTGCTTCTCCAAGTAGTTGAGAGAAAGAGGTTGAATTTTGAAATGATCACAAAGTTGATTTATCTGAAAAAAAAAGAAAGGGATTTTTTGATTTAAAGATGGAAACTAATAGGTATTTTAATAAAATAAAATCAACTTTTTGATCAGACTAGTTTTACAAAAAGATAGAAGTTTGAAAAATACCAGATTGATCGAAAACAGAAAGATAACCGACAATTCTTTAAAAATTTTGTATGTGGGTTCTTCCTCAAAAAATCCCCAAAAGTAAAAAAAAATTTTTTTTTTAATTTTTTTGTTGTTTAATTTATAGGTATCGAAACTTTTCTCGAAAATAATCCCAACCAATTTTTTAAAAAATTTTGAAGTTGATCATTGGGTCTCCTTAAAAATCCCCAAAATTAAAAATTTCTAAAAATTTTTTATTAATTTGTGGGTATCGAGAAACTTCCCTCAAAAATAATCCCTCCAAAAAATTAAATAAAAAAATACCACACAACATCCATAATTAACATGGGCAAGAGTAAATAAAATAGCAGAACCACGAAGCACCCAAATTTCAAAAGAAGCAAATAATCCAAACAAGGATAACAAAACAATTAAAATATACACAATTAAAAGAGTAGTAATAGCAGCAACTTTGGTTGATGACATTTGGGCAATAATTAAATGGGCCTTTAAAAATGGAAAAAATTAGTTCTCCTTTGTGAATTAAGGATGTCACGTCACGGATAGAGAAAATGTCGGATAGAATTTCATATCGAAAAATTGTCCGGATTTCGAGTTTTGGATGACCGTGGGAGACCCCTCTTTGGAAATTTTTTTTTAAAACGAAAACACCTCCAGAAAATTTAAAATAAATCCCTCCTGCGAATATATTCAGTCGCAGGTTTTTGAAAATTTCTCTTGGATCGTGTATTGGATCGAAAAAATGACTACACCCCGTGACATCAGTGTGTTCTTTTTTAAATTTTAAATTAAAAAAATAAAAAAATAAACCGCAATATTAGAAAAAACAACACCCATCGTCCAAAAAAAGGCTCGCGGATCCAATTCCAAAACTTTATTTGGCGAATAAGCACCCCAAATTAATGTACAAGAAAATAGAAGAAATGGAGAGATTAAAGGCTTTAATCCAGAACCAACTGTCTCCTTTGAAAAAAATTTTTTTAATTTTATACAAATAAAATTGATAATTTTTTAACAAAACAGCTAGATTTTATTGGTAATAGTTCGGATGAGACCCCCCCCCCCCACTTTTTTCCTTTCTAAAAGTATTAAAAAGGGTCAGTCAGACTTAGGTTATAGAACTCGTCGAGTTGTGTCGAATAACACCAAAATCAACCCCTGGTTCTTAAATTTAGGCCGAGATACAGACAAAAAACCTGCGAAAAAGAAAGGTTTTGCAAAACTTTATGTCATAATCTTGTCAAATCTTGTTCAATTATGTTGATTTTGATGTCATTCGAATCAGCTGGGCAAGCTCTTTCGAATGAGCTATTATTTGTTTAATCGAACTTTTATCCCAAAAAATGAGTTTGGTCCACCCTTTTATTTTTCAATTTTCAGGGGTCTGTATCTCGGCCCAAAGTTAAGACCGGGGGTTGATTTTGGTGTCATTCAACACAGCTCGACGAGCTCTATAACCTAAGTCTGTCTGATCATTTTTTAATACTTTTAGAAATGAAAAAGGAGGGGGGGGTCTCATCCGAACTATTACCATTTTATTTTAAGAAAACTGAGAGTAGTTTAATAAAATTGAGAAATGGAAATGGATTATGTTTTACAGGAAGAAGCTGTAAGGTTATGGGGATCAGAAAATTGAAAAATTTTTTCAATAAAAAGTAGCAAGTCTTTTTTGGGAAAAAGAGGTCGAGGATCAATCAAAAAATAGTTTTGAGTATTTTCTAACTAGAAAAACATTTTTTAAAGCCATATCTAAACAAATGAAAAAAGATTCAATGAGTGGGATTCGAACCCACCAACTTCACCAAAAATCTAGCGCCCTAACCAATCAGACAACAACCCTATACATACATTTTAAATTTAACTTAATTTAACATCCATTAAAATTTAAGCTGTTTTGTTCTAAAAATAAAATAAAAACCTGTACTCCCGTTTTTGAAATTATATAAGCATGGTAAACATTATACAAACAACTGGCCAAAGAAAGAATACAAGAAACTTGAAATTAAATTTTTTTAATAAAAAAAATTTTTAAAATTTAAATCAAACTAAAAAATGTTGTAGCAATAAAATAGGCAAGACTTAGCCCTTCAACCAAATTAGAATGAAAAATTTTTGGATTTGCAAAGAAGGCGAAAAGGTGAAAAATACAAAGTCCCTTTAAAAAATTAAGAAAAAAATTTTTTAATTTAAATTAAAAAAAATCAAACATATTGACTAGCATCATAACCCCAAGACAAAAACAAAACTCCAGTATTATATTTTTCCCAATGACTACAAATAAATACAAGTTGAACCGATATTAAAACACAGAGCATTGTATATGGAGATATACTGTTTAAAAAATAATATTAATTTTCTGAGTTAAAGAAAAATTTTTTTAAACAAAAGCAAGCTTTTTTTAAGCAAACAAAAAAATATTTCCTGACGAGGAATCGAACCATCCCCTTATTTCGTAAAAATCAAGCACCTTATCCACTTGACCAAATATCTTATAAAAATCAACTAATATTTAGAGCTTAAATGAATTTAAGTACAAACATAAATAAACAACCCCCAGAAAATCCAAGTAAAAATCCGAATTAAAAATAACCCAAAAAACATCCAAAAAATTTAAAATGAACCTATATTCACCACGTCCAAAAATAGAAAAAATTGTAAGTGTAAGTGGAACTGTTGACCAAGAATCTTGAAAATTTTTGAGAAAAATTTTTTTTTAATTTCAACAAATAAAAAATACCAAATCCATGATCAACTGAAATAAGAAAAATTAAATTTTAAAATTTTGTAGAATAATTTAATAATTTCATGAGTACTTAATCAATTTGTTTTTTAAAGCGTTTGAATCGAAAAAGAACCCAAAAAATGCAGATAAAACTTGCGGACATCTTAAAAAATATTTAATACACCCCTTTGAGTTCCGAAAAAAATAACAAATTAACCCCTCAGAAATTCAAAAAAAAATAAAAACCAACACAATTCTCCTGTCGGTCCACTCGATCCAGTCCTTCTCGCCTGCTTTCCATCAGTTCCATCAAGTAAATGAGCCAAAAAAGTAGCAATAGAACAAACTAACCAAATCCAATTTGGAATTGCTTCTTCTTGTTTGAAACCAAAAGTATTTGAATTAAAATTATAATCATAAATAGACACCAAAATAAAAGAAGAAATTAAAATTAAAAATCCACCAAGAGTTAAAACATTTGGAGGTAACCAACGAGGATAAAACTTTAAATTAAAAAAATATTTCTTCAAGTTAAAATTTTTTGTGTGAAAAGTGGGGCGAGGTATATCCCCATGAAAAGACAGAACAAAAAAAATTGGATGGTGGATTTTAGAAAGAATACGACCGATTTATGACACTATTTTAGGTAATCCAAGGCACAGGTATTGAGACAAAAATCTCATTATAAGACTAAAAAATAGCAACACATCCTGAGTGAGGGTTGGACATGGTTGATCCCTTTGAGAAAGTAACAGAAAAAATTAGGAGGTAAAGTCCAAGCAAGACATTAGGTGTTCAATAACGAAATTAAAAACTATTCTTAAAGCCCAAGATTCCGCCCGGAACCCGAAAAATACCATAGCTCGAGAAAGGGGACAAGACAATAAATCTAAAAACTGCCCAAGACAGACATAAAAAACGAAAGCTCCTTAGCTAAAAATAGAAGGAACTTGAAAGTGGACGGAAATCGAAAATCTTATATAGTTGAGAATATGTTTTAAATTATCCAAAAATTAAAAAAAAATTAAAAATAAAAACCTCAACAATCCAATTCCAAAAAGGATGTGAAATATACACAGAAATTGGAGAATTATCTATACAAGCATATTTATATTTATTAAATCCAGAAAGTTGTTGCTCACTCAAATATTTTGTACGAAAAATTGTTGACATTTTTTTTGTGATTATTAAAAAAGATTTATATTAAATAAAATGAAAATCAATTAAAAGATAATAATTTAAAATATTAAATCGTTAGATTAAACGAAATACAAAAAATAGACAAAGAAATAATAAAAAATTATTATAAAATTTTATTTAAAATAAAAAAATAATTTGATGTTTTTAACTTTTAAGAATATAACTAAAAAAAGAACCCAACTGATTATAATGAAAGAAAAAAAATAAAGCATTTCTAACAGGGAAAATACAGAAAAATTTTAAAGCTTCATGTTTTTACAGAAAAAAATTTTTTAAACTTCCTTTCACTTCATTTTTAATGTTCTGGCCATATAATTGGAGGAATTGTATTTGTTGTAAAATCAGGTAAAATATGTTGTTGTTGATTCATTAAATTTAAATTATTACTAGTTGATGCCCATTGTTGTTGTTCCGGTAAATTATTAATTGTTGTTTCTGTAGTTGTTGGCATCATTAAAGAATATCCTTGGGGAATGAAAGAACCATCCAAAATATCTTTAAAAAAATTGTTTTTTTAATTTTTTTTTGGTTTTTAATTATGGTAAGAGCACCATAGAATAGTCTCTTAGATCTGTCCGGAACCCTTAAGATAATGCAGAATCGGGATAATAAAAAAACTTTTGGAGTAAGAAGTGAGAAAAGACAAAGATTTTGACCTAAAAAGAAGGTTGAACTGGGGTTGAACTTATGATTGTGAGGTTGAAAGTATAGGGATCGGGGTTTTAGCCAAAGAAAAGTAGGGATTAGAATGGGTCCGAGTCAAACATTAATTCATAGACGATTTCCCCAAACAGTCAAAAAATATGAATAATTAATATTGTCCGTTAAAATATAAAATTCATCCCTCTCCCCTCTCCACCTGATTAATCTCCCATTTATTAAAAATTAATGTAAAAATAAAAACCATTTTGTGTCATCAATTCATTTTGAATATTTGATGGCCAACAAATATTTTGTTGTTGTTGTTGAATTAATTCATTATTAATTGTTGGTTGATTACAAAAATTTAAAGACGAAGAAGAAAATTCCAAATGTTTTTGTTGTTGTTCTAATACATTTATTGACAAAATTAAAAATTCAAATTCCAAAGAATGAGGATTAATAAATGAATTTATATTTATTGATGTTTGTATATATTCTGATGAACCACCAATTTGTAATTTACAGAATAAATCCTTTAAATTTTGAAAATATTCAGAAAAAATATATTTTAAAAATTGTCTAAAAAAATTTTTTTCAAGGCCAAAAGAGGTTTTTCCTTTCCTTTATGTTTCACAAAAAAATTTGTCAGCAAATTCTGTCTGTAACAACCCTTTTTTTTATCAAAAAGGAGATTATAAAAAATGACAAAAGAAAGATACTCACATATGTCTAACAAAATTTTCTTAAAACAAAAAAAAATCTTTTAAAATTAGAGAAGTTGAAAATATTCCAGAGAAAAAAATTATTGTTTTTTTTTGTCTCAAAAAAATAATCCTATATTTCCCTTATCTTATTTATAATCCTTTGATAAAACATAAAAAGACCATAGAGCCAAAGAAATAAGTAGGCGCGCGGCCATAACGGCGCAAAGCCATAACTTGCTACAAGATTGTCAAATCTTTCCCATTTTATTGTTAGTATTAAACAATTCCTCTCATCGAGCTAAAGAGATTGATATAAAAAATGACAAAAATCAGAAATTTTCCAGCAAGTTATGACTTTGCGCCTTTATGGCCGCGCGCCTATTTGGACGTGTCCCAAACTAATTGTTTAAGAAATATAAAAAAATTTTTTTCAATAAAATTTAATCTAACCTTTATAACAACATTATTATTCTTCAAAATATTCAACAAAGCATCTTTTACATTTTGTTCATCTAAAGGATGTACCAAAGTCCAAAACTTTTTTTCATAAATTTCAGTCATTGATGATAAATTTAACAATTTTTGAATTTCAGCATCGGCAAATGTAATAAAACCTTCAGAATCAACACGCATAATTATTTGATTTTTGTTATTAATTGATGGTGTTGTTATTAAATTTGTTAGTTGCATTCGAGCAATTAAAACTAGACTTGTTGTAATACCTGAAAATGTTTTTTAGTAAAGAATGCTTCCATTTTTAAACCGGATTAAAATTGTTGCTGGTTAAAGAACCAAAACGAATAAACGCAAATTTTTCGGGCATATAACTTTTCGATTTGGGGGTCAGGACCAAAAATTAGCAATAGACTCTACTTGATGTTGTAAAAAATGCGAAATTTTTGGTTACAGTTCAAAATGTTCCCTTGTTAGTCTCGGCTCCGGGCATAAAAAAAATTTTCCAAAAGCTGACAACACTAGATTTAATTTTTAAAACAAGTGAATGAGGGCCTACATTCTACATGGGAATCCTACGGAATTAATTTATGGTATTAATTAATTTATATAATTAATTTATAAATTAATTTAAAATTTATAATAATTAATTAATTTATAGAAGTCCCAAAATTTGCCAGAAAAGCGATTTTGCCGTCAATATAATTTTTAAAATTTTGTCAATTTCTAGTCACAAACCCGAAATAAGGTTAATGCCCCCTAGCCCCTTTACCCTATTCCACTTAAAAATAAGTAAAAATAAAAACCTGTCAATTCATTTGTATTCAATTGAAATCCACAATTAATATTTGAAGAGGAAGAAGACATTTGTTGTTGTTGTTGCTGTTGTTGTTTTCCATTTTTTAAATAACCTGTACAATGCATAACTACATAATATGACCCACAATGTTCAAAAATTGGTCCTTTATTTTGTAATCGTGGTAAAGCATTAATATTGCCTTTAAAATAAATTTTATTTTTAATAAAAAAATTAGAAAGGGAAGAATTGTATCTGGCAGGTATCAGCTATTATAAGATAGTCTCAGAACTATGAATTAGAAGTCAATTATAGTAGAGCAACAGAACTGTTCAAAAAAGATTACCAGTTATGTAGATAATCTTTTAAGAAAGATAAAGGGAAAAATTGAAAAAGGAAAAAAATAAAAGAAGTATTTCGCCCAAGAACGATTTTCACAATAATTAGAAATTTAGAAAAATTAATTTACAATAAGGTCCTAAATTCGGGGGGCATTGGGAAATCATGACGCCCTAACCAATTCCACTCGAAAAATTTTGTCCCAGCTTTTACTAGCGTATTAACAAGAATAAGAATAAAAACTAAAAAACAAACCAATTCTCATTCTGCAAATAAAACCTCTTCTACAATTTAAATGTATTCGATTAGTTGGTTGAACATCTCTTTTAATTGTTCCAGTAGACAAATCAACAATTTTATTATTAAAGCCAACATCTCCATCATTTGGACATAATATTTGTTCACTAACTTTTTCTATATCATCAGGATGTATTAAATCAAAAAATGCTCTGTTTAGCCATTCTTCCTAAAAAAGAAAGCATTTTATATAAAAAAAATTCAGAAGATAGCCTATAACCCTAAAAATTATCAGAGAAAAAGGAGATCAAATAATCAAGTAAAAGGCTCAAAAATAAATAACTCAAAAAATTTTAAAAAAATCAAAAAAAAGTAGCAGAGCTCACTCAAATTCACCCGATACAAAATAAGATGGATCAGTCCCAAAAACTCCAAAATCAGGAAAAATAAGGAGGAATGACGAGATTAGACCAGTTCGTTATGAGTCGATTCATAGCGTCAGGCCCGTAGCCAGGGGGGGGGGGTGGGGGGGGGGGAATTCCCCCCCCCCCCCCGAAATGGGAAAATGGAAAAAATTTGGGGAAAGGCTGGGGCAAAAAAAGTGAATTTTTTTGGCCACGGCCTCTGAAATTTAAAAAATTTTCGCCTGCGGCGCTAAAAAAGGAAGAAATCTGGCTTCTTGAGGTCCAAAATTCAAAAAATTTTCGCCTGCGGCGCTGAAAATCAAATTTTTGGCGCCTGCGGCGCCGAAAAAGTGAATTTTTTTGGCCTACGGCCTTCTAAAATTCAAAAAATTTTCGCCTGCGGCGCTGAAAATAAAAATTTTTGGCGCCTTCGGCGCCAAAAATTTGGCGCAAAAAAATTTCCCCCCCCCCCGAAAAAAAATCCTGGCTACGGGCCTGCATAGCGTTTCAGCGAACTGAAGTGAGCAAACTCTACCAATAGCGTAGCTAACGGGTCAATTTCGGGGGTTTTTTGATGATCCTTCTCCTAGTTTTACCCTCAGTTCGGGAGGGGGGGAGGGCTTCAGCCACCTGAATACGTCCTTGAGTTCTGCTAAAACCTATAACAAGACAAAAATCGAAAAGAAAAGTACTCAAGTTGTTCACCCACAAAAATTAAATTAAAAAAAACCTGGGAAACATTAAGAACTGGATAAATCGAATCAGAAACATAAATAACTCTAGAATCTTCACAAGACAAAACAAACAGAAATCCATTTGCCGCTTCCATAATTAAATGCTTCAATTCGTGATCAGTCAAAAATGATGGAGGATTTTGATGATTATTTGAATTTAATAAATCTCCACGAATTGATTTCATATGAGACACAGCCATGCGTAAAATTGTTAGTTTGTCAGGTTTTCTTCCTAAAGCTGCACATTGTGGGACCTGAAATAAAGGAAAGATTTTGAAGTAGGTAAAGCAGCTTGTGAAATCTAGTCAAGTAAGCCTCCGGGAATGTTATTGACGACTCCAATAGGTATTAGTGGGATTAAATGTCAGTTTGTGACACTTCTAATTGCAAGAGAAAAGGAGACCTCGCAAATCCTATGAATACACATTGTCTATGGGATAAATTTTCATTTTTATGACATTCTCATAAAAATGAGAGACCGATCGATAAATCATACTCCCAAAAGTGAACGCTTCATCAAGTGTTAAAATAAAAATAGAATAAGTTGGATAGTTATCCCCCTATTTTGATTTATCCTCCAATATTTTTAATTCGAAAATTTTCCAGCCAACTAGTGGAGACTCGCAAACTCAAACAAGAATTCATTCTAACAATAAAATCCCACTCTCCCATAAATTTTAAAAATCACAAACCATATCAGCCAATTCATTAATATAATGCGTCATTTTATTTCTTCGCCTTCTTTCAATTTCACTATGATTTTCACGAGCAAAACGTTCTCTTCCTTCTTGCACATTATTTGGTGGACGTTGTTGACTTAGATTTTGATGGTTGTTTGGTGGACGAGAATTTTGTTGTTGTAATGGTAAATTAATTAAAGGAATTGATCCTTGATCCAACATTTTTTTGGATTTTAAATTGCTAAAAGAAAATTAAAAAAATAATTTTTTAACAGTTAGGGCAATTCGATTCTAGACAAAAAACTTATAGGAACCAGAAAAATCAAGTTGCGGACAAATTACATTGGAAAGACAACTAATCCGAATTGTTGGGATCAATTGTCTCAAGTATCCTTTTTTGTAATATTTTATTAAATCCAAGGTTATAAACTAATAGACTTCCCAAGGGATCAGAATTTCACCAACGTAACCAGTTTAAATTGGAAGAGGACTTTGTCCGCAAAACTTGTCCGCAAAAATAAGCACTTAAGTAAATTCTATTGTGAATCGTCCTACAGCCCCAAAATTAACATTATTACAACAAAAAACGATTTAAAAACATAAAAAATAAATAAAATTGTTCAAAAAACAATTAAAAACTTTTAAAAAATAATAAAAAATTCAATATTTATACCGAAAAATTGTTCAAAAATTCCAATTTTTAATAATATAAAGGATTATGAGTAACCCAATGTGCTCTAGGTTGTTGTTTAGCTTCTTCACTTGTTGTAAATATAGATTTTACACTTTGAGGTAAATCTTTAGAATTTTGAATACTTTTGACTTCTTCGTCTTTTTTGACTTTTTTAGCAACTTCTTTTGGTTTTTCGCCCATTTTTCTTTTTCCTCCACTTCCTTCCTCTTTCTTTTCCATCTTTTTGCGTTTCTTCTCTTCAATTTCTACAGCAATACGTTTTTTGTATAAATCTAGTAATTCATCTTCTGGATTTAATTTTATCAAGTTTTCTTCTTTAAAAGGACCAGAACAGCCTAAAAATAAAAAGAAACTAAAATCTAGACATATTTAATTACACCCTTATTGCTTGTAAGAATTTACCTTAAAAATGATTCCAGGGGTTGAGGAAAACCGGAAATTGTTTCTAACATTTTTTCTAAGTCTCTATTTCAACCTAATATTGTTATCAACTTAACTGTGTCGATTGGAAATGGAACAGAGGGATACCTGGTCTAGAATCAGCCATGGGCTTGCTTGTACATTTATAGTTAAGCTTGTATCTACTAAAGTATAAATGATGGAACGATGTTTACAAAACCAAAAATAAACCAAAAACTCACAAGATGTGAAAGGCGAAAAAAAAACAAAATCCCAAGTGCCTATTCTTGACTAATACCCAGAAAAAGCACTAATGCCCATTTCCAAAATTCAATGTTAGTTCAAAAAGACTATTGAGCCTCAGATTTAAAACCCCTCAAAAAATTGTTAAAAAGAAAACCTAAACAAGCATCAGGTTTTAATTCATTAACAGCCTTTTCAGAAAAAACACATCCACACAACCAATTGACAAAAAAAGCGCTAGTTCCATTCATTGGAAGAGAAGTAATTGGGCATATCCAAGGAGTCTCATTCATGTCGATATAAACATCCCCTTTTTCAGCCCCTTCATTTTTCCAAGCTTTATTATCTACCAACTTTAATTCTTTAACATCACTTAATGAATGGATGTGTTCTGTTGCTTGGTTGGTTGACAATGTTTTGTTCAATTTTGCTTCCAAAATTGCTTCCTTATTGTAAAGTCTGAAAATTTTGTTTAATTAAAGAATAAATTGGGAAGATGTTGAAATTCTTAAAGTCTAAACTTTGGTGGTTTTTAACGCACTTTTAAACTCTCAAAGTCAAAAAAAGTACTGGGAACAATATTTGCCTGAATCTAGGCATAAGAATGCCAATCCAAGGGACACGCCCA